TTTGAGAATGGGTTTCTTTCCAAGAACTTAGTTAAGTCTAGTGTTAATAAAACCCAGGACTGCGCTGTCAAGACAAAAACGTCGTGTTGCCTAGCCTTTCCTTCTCTGCAGGTCAGTGATGATGTCTCATGTGGCCGGTATAACTGCCGCACCAGCTATCTTCGCATCTGGACTCCACCGTCGCTTGAAGACATTTGTCAGACCTTTTAATAAAAAAAAATATTATACTTGCAACACACTTACCCTTAGACTTAGGCCGTGTTTGCAAGCGGAACTGCGCGGCATTGAGCAGAGATGAGCCTTGTAAATAGGCAAGTGTTTTATTGAAGCTGTGCGAAAACGAAGTATGCAGAGCCGAACGGGGTTGTGTGAAGTGGAGAGCAGCGGAGTTGAGCAGAGTGAAGATGCGCTAAGCGCGATGAAGAGGTAGGTAAATTTATTTGGAGTTGGCCCAGCTCCGCACGTACCGCTTCGCCTCGCTCAGCATGACGCCGCTCCGCTCTGACCACCTTTTAAATATTATTCTTCACACGTCCGCTATTTCCACTGAAGCAGAGCGTCGAAGAGATTTTTATTTTGAACAAAACTTTTACACGTCAAGAAAAATACCTAAGATGAAAGATATTTAAGAAAACCATGTAATTTCGTTACTCCTAAATCCGTGACTGAGCAGAGCAACCCACCTCATACTCAGTGGTCTGTGAACGGTGCTAACTGCTCCACCGGGACGCCGGCCCGGGATGGCACGAAAAAGCAAACAATACCCAATGCTTCTTGTATAATATTTACATGGGTAAATACACAGCGATTTCTCCACGAGAGTGGAATTTTAAAACGAAACCGGTATCTATCGAAAGGTCCCCTTTATTGTTTTCGTAGACCTCTTTTGTTTACTATTTTCACGGTCTCTGCTAATGGAAGATTATTTGCAGAATTTATTGCTAAGTGTTCAGAAGGATTTTAAATCGCTTTCCTTTTAAAAGGTTTAGTGTGGAGAAACGTAGATTAACTACATTTTTTTCTGAGTAGCTAATAATTATTTATTTATTTGCACAGAGGCACTTTGGTCTTGAAGAGCCAAAAACATTTACTTTTCGGACTTTCTTGAGTTTTCCAAAAACATTTGTCCGAACAAGTTTTTCAAATAAACTAAACAATATTAAGGATAAAAAGGTGCCTACCTCTGTTCATCATCATCAGACTCTACGGGAACACTCATCAGTCTATGCACAGAACGGGCAGTAACCCACCAGGCGGCCAGGATTAATAAATATACTTACTTTTTATAGGATAGGCTTTACCCAATTTGCTATAAATTGATACCCAACATCAAAAGCGTTTTTAAAGAACTCAATTATGTGTCCCTATTTTCCGAGTTTTGCTAAATTAACTTTAGATGCCAATTGTTATTTATAGATTCTTAAAACCAATATGAAAAACACATTACAAAGGCAAATACACCAATAACTCCAAAAGGTAAATTAATTCCATTAAACACAATTTCACTGCCAAAACCCAATTTAAAATGGGAAAATCTGTTTTCGTGCCCTCATTAATTATTTTTCGACGGCACGGCACGCCGAGTAATCACACCGAGTTTATTACCATCGGCTTGTCATCGGATCGACTTTGCAAACAATCGTACAGTAGTAATTAGTTTTATGCAAATACAACCCTGTTTAATACGCAGCTTGGGGCAAATTACAACAACGTAATAAAGTTGACGGACTGCCAATATGCGATAGAAAAAAAAAGGAATTAATACTATTTTACGCCGAAACACACGAAATGTCTACAGTTTATCACCTATACCATCTAATTACCAATTTTCCAGTTAACTGAACAGTAAGACCGAATGATTGACCGATTTAATCAAGGCGGGAGCGAATGAGCTAGTCGCTCGGAGTCCAGGCCGGGCGGGAAAAAATTGATTGCGTTGAATCAATTCATTTGCGGTGGGTACGGTTTTTGTTGACACCTTGGCCCGATTTTTTATTACCTAAGAGGAGCGAAACTCGTGCCCGCCGCGCCGTCGCTTGACGTCAATTTTAATTAACCTTACTGTTAGGCTCCTATATTTCGCCCGTCAACAATTTCTTTGTAATTTATGTCGCCTTCTCTCTGTTATAAAATATAATGAAAATGTAGTAACGCGGTTCTGAGGGGGGGAATTCCTTGTATATTGGCCAATGCTTATATTCGCCCTATATTATTATTCAAACGAAGCGATGCTAAATTATTAAGTGAATTTCCGACAGAACATTTTTTCGCTTCTGAGAATACAAAATTAAAATCAGAATTTGTTGTCGCATGGAAACTGTAAAGCTATCTGCGTGATACAAATTAAATTATGGTATGGTTCATTTGAATCTTCAATAAGAACACAGTATTAATATTAAACATGTATTTAAATCATCACACAATCATAATAATCATTGTTTACAAAGTCTATAAAAACTCCTATATCAGTCATAATTTTAATGTTGCTCCCTATGTCACATACTCAATTTATTTATCTTAATTAATATAAATTCTATCATCTACTCACCCTTGTTACATTTGGAAATATATTCACAAAATGCATAAGGCATTTACATGAGCATTGAAACGTATCTACGTTTCGTTAAAAAAAACCCAAACGCAATTACAAAAATATAATAAGGCAGTAAATATTACAATTAGTATGTTCCAACTCTATATTAATATAGCAATAGAATTTCTTACGACGATATCAGCAATAATTATTTTTCGCAAAGGTCTCTAAGCTCATTTGAGTTTTTACTCACTGAAAAAAGAACTAAATACTAGTAACCTAACAAAAAAAAACTTACAATACCGATGTACAATCAATCTCAAAGGACAGAATTACAATACAACAATATTGCCCTTAAAAAATACATTATAGTTAAATAAATACAAATGGTTTCACATAAGAATTCTCTAAAAATATTAAAGCTAAACAAACGTTACACTAACTTATAAACATAGTATAAATCGGAATTCATCTTCGTTATTGCGAAACCGTCCATTCCACTTCAATTGATTACATAAACATTTCTTTGTAGAAACGTAAATTACATTTCGCGTTTCTAGAAAGTTCTTTGTATGAACTAGTCTATATTATCTTCTGGTAAAGCTATGTATAGCAATATTAAGGAAAAATATAAGACCAAAGAAATCAGCGATGTTTTATTTTTTTGTTCTTATGATGAAAAAATAATTCCGAAGTTCAATTTGCAAAAACATAAGAATAGGAAATTCATGATCTTAGAATTCGTGTTCATTAAACTGCCTTAAAAACATCAGTAGACAAATTATGCAATTTTATTAGTTGATTTGGATCTCTATGGCGCATGTATGTATAACATGTTATGCTGGCAAAAGTACCATGTTTAATCCGTAAATTTAGTTCTATGAAACAACCTCGAAAAAGGATTAATTTTGACTGAATAATTTATAAACAGAACCTATTAGTGATCATTTAACGGTCGCTTGTAGCTTACACGTGTTTTCCCTTTAGCATTAAATACTTAAACACTAATTTTGGGAAATATTCAATACGTTTCCAAAGAATTTTAAAGATACTCAGTACTAATACATATTTCGACGAAAGATTTATGAATCTATTATTGCAAATTGTTCATTGAAATCTCTGGAAAACATTTGGAGTAAATTAAAGAGCAATCCAGGATGTTTGAGAATAATAAACGAACTTGTATTATTTATAATCGTATAAGGATTCCTTAATAATGTGGCGTCTAATGATGAGTCCAAACTAGCGTATTTGATAAATGGTCAGTCACGTAAACAGAGTGAAATAAATTCAAAAAGTCCGAAACAAATTTTAACACGCTACTAATTTCAAGCGAGTTACAACTTCGCAAATTCGCTTCAATTCTTACCTCTAATCGAGATAATTTCAAGTTGCTTACTACTATAGCTTAATCAAACGAAACACTACCATAAACGTTAAGTTAAGCATGTTTGGTACCCCGGTATTATTTTAAAGCGTTCGATTTAGGACGAAAGCCGTTCAAAGAGGTTACCTCAATACAATTTATCACACCGTCAAACCAAAGCTAAAACAAATACGTTATGTTAGAACGGTAAATACGTTGAAAATACCGAAATTGGGGCCCTCAGCGGCTACAGCCTTCACCACGCAACCGCATCCGGGTGGAAAGCTTTATCGCGCCACTGTTAACTAATTACATTGGTTAATTCAACAGGATAAATTGTTTTGTTAAAGGTATTCAGATGTTTATACGGTAAACCTTATTTACATTAAATATAATCGAGAAAATTTAGCTTGCAAATATAACTACACTGTTTCATTTTGACAAGAACAATCCGTTAAATAAATGAATCAAGCCTCGAATAACACACCGGGATTCTTATCATTTGTTCCTGTGTTACCAGAAAATTTAATTTCATTAAAGAGTTATTTTAGAATAATCACTTTATATTCCCTAATCTTGTTACACATAGGCACTTTTGCGAGCTTAGTAATACTCTTTTCATAAAACATTTTCAATAGCTTTAATTTTTTAAGTAGATATTCAAATACGAAATCTTCATTAGCTAATTTAGTTTTCAAGTAAAGAGACTTATTTTTCATAACCAATATAGTGCATAAACTTTAGCAGCTACGTTGAAAATTTTTAATATGCAGTCTAGCTATCGTATTTCCATTATCGATTTTTAGTCAATTTGTCAAATGTCTATTACTGGCTGCGTCATAATTAATTGCGACATTTTGCGGTGTGATATGACTTAATGACCAAAATTGCAACTATCGAAGGCCGACAATGAGATTTTATATTACAAAATTGCGGCTGAACAATGAATTTAACGACTACAGTTGTATTGAGTTGCTCTTAAAATATAGAAACAATGTTACCTACCAAATATTTCACAAAAAACATGTTTTTTAAATAATTTTACGGAATTTTCCATCTCAATGTTAAGTTTCATATTGTGCTGAAATTAGTTAAAATTAAACAATGGATTTACAACTTGTAGAATTTACATTCAACGACAAATCAAGATTTCTCAACAAAAGCTTTTTTTTCAATTATGTTTCAATTAAGACAATTAGCTCAAATTCGTTTGGAAAAAATACAATTTCGAACAAAGTGACCTGTTATTAATTGTACGAAGAAATTATAACACTAGTCTTTTTTAAATAATTATATTGCCTAAATACTTTATGAAAGCGGTATACTATTCAAACACAGTACCTGCCTTTTATTTTCTACACAATTTATTAAAAAAAACACATTTGAAACTCAAAATTATTTTCAAACGCAAAACTGTATATTTTTATTTGGAAGTGTACAGACAGCCACAGTTATTATATTTATTCATTTTTAAATGCCAAGCAATTTATATTATTTTATTTTTTTACATAGATTCTGATAAATGTTTTCGTTATTTTTACATATGTTTAAAAACTGTTTTCAAACAAAATTAAAACACTGAAGCAGATGTGAAATACATGAAAAACGTATGCCTCAGAGTATTTCAGGTTTCCTTACTTCCTAATAACATTAAATCTGGATTACAAATCTGTCGAAAATTTAATATAGAATAATGTTCAGGAAAATACTAGAGAATCTATTTCTAACTCTCGGTCTATTAAGTATTACTCGAGCTGGAAGCTTCACAGTTACGAAAACTCGGATCACCAACATCATAGCCTTATAGTAGATTAACTGATCTCAGGAACACCAGCAACTTTGTTGAGAGATTTTATGCTACTACATTGTTGCATTAGTACATTGTGAACGTTTGACACTCAAAAGATAGTACAATAATAAGGTCAATAGGGTAATGCTTAAATCGTAAATCTATCAATACAAGCTAAACACAAACTTTAACTAGAAGATAAAAAAATATAAGCATTATTAATTGAAATATCAGATCCAGTTTGAACACAGTCCGAATGCATATTCATCAATTATTTTTCAATATCATTATAGTTTATTCTTCTCTTCAACAAGATTTAGATTTAAATATAAATTTAAAGTAACACGTTCTACAAACTAACACATGATACAAATTTTTTTTTAGTTTTTAGTTTTTTTTTTGTAATATGTACTGTTTTATTAATTCATACAAATCAATATTTAGTTTCATTATTTTATCTTTAATTTAGTGAGTATACAAAACAAACGAGTCCAGAATGAAACACAATAGGAATTAAATTATACACTGCGGTCTATACTATATTTTGACAGGTGTGACTCACATTAATTATTGTATTAAAATTGTTTTTTTTTTTTAGTGTTGCCTGTGTATAGTAAAATATTAATCAAGCAAAAATTCATTCTTTTGCTGATATATTTTACTACATTAATATTATCAAATAAATATCTTGGCGTAAAGCTTACACAATAAACTCAAAATTTCCAATGATATAGTGTAAGTAAAAAACACTTTTACTTTCACAATATCAAATAATTTGCATGAACTATGTAAACTTTACCCTAAAATTTATATTTACAACACATTAAAATGTGCCTAGCCATTTTTTTCCATCTGTTCAGTTAATTTACGCCGTTAGTAGTATCTAGTAGTTCTGAGGCCCAAGCACGAACTTTGACAACTCTGCAAACGTATCGCATCGTTAAAGTTTCTATGAAAGCTAAGCAGCGCCCCTACCGGACGTAAGAACAAACTGCCTCCTTCCATACAAAATTTGACGATGACGATACAGATCTGTCAAATTTCGAACTTGGACCTCTGATTTTCGTAACTGCAAAGCACACTGTGAACTTACTTTACAAATTTTGTATACCGAAAAACTCTCAAAACATAAATATAATCCTCGATTTGTTTCAGTGGCATTTTTAAGGCATATTTGACTGCAGTGGTACGTAACACACAGTGGGCACTCTGTTTTCGCTTCATGTAATATCTTTAAACTGAAATTGTAACAATTAAAGCCCGCATGCTGTTTTACAGTTTAATAGAAAAAGGAAAGATAATATTATACTTTATCTACTGACTAAATCTTTTCGCTTTACAAATACTTTACAAAGGAGTGAAATAAAAAAAACACAGCAATTCGGTTTCTATAGAAACGCCACTTTCATTTTCCTTAAATTCATAAGTTGAGGTCCGATCTGCGATACACGATGAGTCGTATTAAATCGTCCTTTCAGAGCACTGCTTTTGCGCGACAGCCGCGCTGCGATTGGATGAATTATCACTGGATTCACTCACCTTCACCATAAGTTGTAGATGTCCATTTCTCATATTCACTAAGCTTCCGGGCTCGCCGACGATCACTTCCTGGCAGCAATAGGTGGTCTCGAGTAGGGGTGGTTTTGTGGCCGTTCCCGCGCCCTCACTGCTTTATAACCGACTGCTTTTTGAGTCAAATTCGCCTTCGTACGAGCCGAGTCTGTTAGTGGGTTAATGGACGAACACGTTACACAATGTTAGCATGGTACTCGACATTGACGTAGTCATATAAACTATTTAAGTGAGCTCTTAAATCTGGTTAAGTTTGGAGGCGTGCTATGAATTTGTAGTCTTAATAATTTAACTAAAAGACTTTCTTTTGTTTAGTTCCAATCAACACAAATGTGTCCTTACCCCTTGTTTACACCAATGAATAATACATGTATTTAATATTATACAATGTCTTTATTTTTTAATCTCATATATAAAAATTGTAGTACCTATACAATACTTGTAATAAACTTGTTAGATAAACAAAATATGTAAATTAAATACAAGTAAGTAAGTGATTAATACTTGTAAAGATACTAGTGTCTATGCAGTATAAACAGAAAAATGTTCTAAACAGTCACAAAAAGTATTCTACCAGTATAAGACTTGTACGTTTACACCAAGGTACAAGTACATAAGAAGCATTGAGCCAAGAAAACTAGAAATATTGCATAACAATACCTAAGAAGATTACATTTTGTAGTAAAAAAATAATATTATTATTATTGGTATTTCGGTACTACTAAATATGCCTCAATTTATATGTATTATAAACTTGTATTCTCAACTACACACATTATTTTTTTGTGCGGTGTGACAAATCATGGAATTATCTTCATAACTGAATAAAGATTTTAAAACCGAAAAACTTTTTTTTTCTTATTTCAATTTATATATGTCCCCAATCTACAATACTAATAGATCTCAGATTGACCCCAACTAATGCTAATGTCCCAATACAAAGCCGAAAAGGCCTAGTACACGTCAGATGCATCACAATTCACAACCACAGAGCAAATCCCACCGAGCTAATTTGAACTAGGGCCTGTTCGCAAATCTGCATTGACATTTGTTTGCGTAGCAAACGCCGTATGATTTGTTGATTCAGGTCTTGGCACTGGTTATCTACTTGATTGGGACCTATATAGTTTAACGCCTATAACGAAGTGTTTAAAATAAAGTGCGTAAATGCTTACAATAAAAGCCTATCTAAAATCAGGGACAGATATTGATTTTTTACACATTTAAAACCGATCATGTGTGTTTTTAAGTTTTTTTTTAATATCTGTCTCACATTATTCTGTGAAAATATCAGGTTCTCCGTTCAACACTGCGAGACCCTGTGACACACAAACAGAAGAAATTAATAGAGTTCTATTTGTACCATGTAAAAATTATAGCTACGTATAATAATACTACCTACCTAAACCAACTAAAACTTAATAGCATTAATAAAACTTTAATTATGTATTTATGATAGTTGCATTTACTAATGAAAATAAAAGTAGTCTAATAATTCTAACGCAAGCCGATGTATTTAAACATGTTCAGTGACTTAGAAGTATTTAACTGTAAATATAGTAATATAATATTAGTATAGTAATTATCTGAAAACATTACACTCAATTTGAGCAGTTGTAGAAAAAACTAATGTTCATATTGAATCATTGGAGCATATTCCTGTCTTTATTTACCTTACAAATTCCACATATCGTGGCATTACAGGCTCTAGACGATTTGCCCGTAATCGAATGAAACCACGCCGTTGATAAAGCAATTTGCAATAATTCCCACCGCTGCGGCGGCGGCAGTGGCGGCGGTGACAACCCTATCATTTCAATTGGAAAAGTAGTATGTCTGCGGCCCCCACGAACCCTAATAGAATCAGTATCGAGTGTGCACTTAATTTATATGATTAGGATCGACGACACTCTTGTTAAGTAATTGGACACTTTTTCAATGGAGTAAGTACTTAGGCCCTCTTTTAAAACATTATAAAATGGTGAATGAATTTTATTGTTTCGTTTCTAACGAATTATTAAGTATAGGAATCTTGCATTAAGCAGTATCTATCAACAATGATAATTTGATACTTTAATTATATTTTCAGTATTTTATAAACGATTAGATATTATTAATTATAACTAATAAAAAAAACTTTGCCTCGGTTTTAGACAGGATCCCACAACAACGATGGTTAATGTTATGCTTCACTTCTGTACAGTTCCTATTATTTGCTTGAGTTATGATTAAGGCAATTTTCATTTATAATTTTTTATCACTTCTACGATTTTATTATGATTTGATTATGAGTTATGCCTCCTTTCTATTCTTTTTACCTATTACTCGTACTACTTTATATTTTTAACTTGTTTTAATTAATTTAACATTACCTTTATTGTTCTGTTTAAAACAAAAGAATGAAAAGATTTCATGCACGAGTGTCATAAACAAAGTTAACATAAACATTTATCTGAATTAGATATGATTTAAAAGCTCTTTATGGCCTACGCAGACAAGGGACTTTTTTGTTCGCCATAATAAACGATATTAAATACCCTAAATACAACAACACGAACAAAATCGTGCCCGAAACCTGTCCAAAAGGTACATTGGACGATCCACGGAGCTCCGTAAGATGATCGCGTTGTCAAAAACAATATAAGGCATTATTTAAACATTGAAAGTCACCTTTTAATGCATACTGTATAAGGTCTTCATTAAAACGCATGCGTCAAAGAGTTATGACAGTTCGAAATGCAAGCTTGTAAAATTTTACGACTTACTGCTATATACAGATGAATATAGACCTTATTACTTTGACTCTACGTGCAATTCTGAATGATGTTAGCAATATAACGGGTTTGGTGCGCGAGGAAAAAAGACGGCTATATAAACGATCATTCATTTGAATATCACAAATATTTTCTATTAAATCAGGTTATAGTAAGTATTAGAACAAAATTTGCTAACATTGATTAGATACCTGTCGAAAAACGACACTTTATGTACTCTTAAGTATTTTTTCGCATTTATTCGCGGAGCTCTGCGACATCTTGACTTTTCAATGGTCCGCGTGTGACTGTGAACCAAGAAGTGCTTGAGTGGTGTTCGAGCACTTCTTAATTGGGACACATTTAGAGCGCACGTGGTGTATCTAGGGCATTGAATATCGTTGGCCATAATAGATCACCTACAACTGCTTCGTTCATCTTTGAGGGATTACAAGTAACGCGTACAAAAAGTTCCCCAAACAACCGAGGACACTAAGAGATCGGACTGTACAAAAGTACGGAGGTGTACGCGTACATCTATTTTAGCGGATAAATAAGTCCGCGGATAAAATTCCCTCGTCAGCGCAGGTCATTTTAGTGTTATATATGAAAGTAAAGTGGCCCACATAATAACAATGAACTCTATCTCTATGCCATTCATCTTGTTTTAACATATTTGTCGTATGTTAATATTCTACCGACAATATCCACACACACCAAAATGGACAAACACAAAATAAAGGGCATTCACAATTAATAATAACAAAATTTTCCCGCATCCCCATCATTTGTTATTGTTTTATTCAAGACACAAACATAGTAGTTCCGTTTTGAATTTGTATGAAAAGCTTATCTTATCAACGTCATCTATCGATACATGAGAATCACCTTTATTTCAAATGGAAATTTACTAGAAAAAAATTCACTCAGTTAAGGTTTCATAAGTGTATCGAACCCGCAACTTCCGCTATCTGGGCGGCCGCACTAACCAAGGAAGATGTGTGTTGAAATTACGTCTGAAATCTAAACCGAGTGAGGTTTTTTTTTTTCAAGTTAAATTTTCTTTACAATGTAACATCTAGCTTAGTTAAATGCTTAAAAATGCAAATAAATTAACTTTTTTCTATTTCAAGTATCGCAAAAGTCCATAAAAATTTAGTTCAATGTCATGCCAAATTTTGGTTCGTACTAAGGACGAACCAAAATCGTATTCGAATAATTTGCGAGTGCGAAATGTCATTGTCATTCACATTAAAAAAATCGAATTCGATATTAGATAGTGCCCCCCTAGCACTATCTAATATCGAATTCGATTTTTGGGCTCCCTGTGGGCTTGGTAAATTGACAGGGAGGAGCCCACGGAGCCTGTGCGTGCATGTTTCCAGTGCGTAACGGTAACATTATGTATTTACAGACAAAAAAAAAATTACTGTACCTGTAGAACAAACCATTATCGAATTCGAATAGTTGAATTCGATCTATTTTATACGTCGAATGTTTACTGAGTTTCAGTTCTCGCTACATCCGTTTGTGGCGCTACTGTTCAAGTTTTCATAAAAAAATTGACAATAACATTTCGCACAAAAAATCTATTCGAATTCGAGGGTACCCTGTAGATACAGATCACTTCTAGATTATTATGATTATATTTACCTTGCACGCTCCTCTGCATCGGAGTGCCGTCCCGTGATAAACTGGAACCGAAGCCGGGCGTGGGCCTTCTGAACGGCAACGCCTTACCTACCACAGGTTTTACAACCTTGGCTAGAAAACACAAAATATGGGAATTACTTATTAAAACTTCAATGCCAAACTTTAAGAATAGACACAACTGTAGACACGACAGTCACAACTAAATGTTGATCTTTACTTGAGTACAGTTAGAAAGGGATGTCGCTCTGTATAGCACATAGCGCCATCCCTTTCTAACTGTACTCAAGTAAAGATCGACACTTAGTTGTCATTCTGCAATACAGGCCTAAGACGGTCAAACTGTTTATATAAAATCTATCAACACACAGCTCAAACAACTGATTGCGTTGAATTTTGTAACGCTTAATGCTATTATGATGTAGAAATGCACTGTGAAGGGATTTTCCAAAACTCACCCCCTAAAGAGGTAAAGCAGGGATTCAAAGTTTGTATGGGAAACTAATATATCTTTGCAGAAGAAGTCGGGGGCACTATTACATTATAAAACACTATTGATTTACAATAAAAGCTGAGTAGCCAAGTGAAGGCAAAAAATAAAGAGGTTAATTTTGCAGAAACTTTGATATCAAAGTTGTTTTAATCGTGGGAATTTAAATTCCCGCCTATATCTTTGGCACGCGTACCAACGTTATTATAGTATAATAAATTAGTGGAAAATGCCTGAATTGAGGAAAGAAACTATTTATACAAGTCACCATTGGTACAAAATTGGATAAATTTTCAAATCGAAAATCATACCGTATTTTTCATTCATCTTATCAAACTTATTCCGCCATTGAAGAATTTTCAATGGGGGGAGAGGGGCGCCAACTTTTACAACTGCATTGCATAGGGGCAACCAAAATCTGGGCCTGTGCAAGTGTTACTCTTTTACATTGCATCGCAAGCTTTATAAACTTCAGTGAACTTTAATCATCGAACATAATGGCACAATGTCATACAAAAAATAACAGAGATATATAATACCAACCTTTGTCATTGAAACTTATTGTCCTCTGTATAATGTTAGTCCGGTCAATGAGTCCTCTCTTTGGCAGCTCTTTCGTCACCTCTTGTTTGATGGCCGGTTTCTTTGTAGCTTCCACTTTTCCCGCCAAAACGAACGTCGAATTCATATCTTTAAGATCAAACGCACCGTAATTTTCAACCTCAGGTGCAATATTAAACTCTTTTTTTATTTTCTTTGCTGAATTCTGGTTCTTTGAAGTGTCTAAACTTTCTAAGGAATCATTAATTATTATAGTTTCGTTATTCTTCAATTTAATAGGCGTACCCTTGCGCTTATTGCCGCATAAACGCATGGGTTCCCTATTTTCAATGTCACTTTGGCAGTCGCTGTCAGTCACAATGTCAATGGTTGAATTGAAGTCCTTTTTAGTCACGAAGTCTATGGTCGATGTGGGTTTGTCCAAATCCAAGTTAGAAACAAATTTAAAGTGTGTGTCGCATTCCATGTCTTTATCCGACCAAGAGATGCCTTTAGCAGATTTTGCTTTCTTCATAATCTCTAAGTATTCTGTTGTGAGAGCGGGTGTTGCTTTGTCGTATCCTTTCAGTGTCAGATACAATTTTTTGAGCATACTAGGCATATCGCTCATGTATTCTGTGAATGCATTTATCTCTTCATTTTCGATAACAAGCAGTTTGTATCTCAGTTCATCTCTGGCCTTAAGGTGGCGTAGTTCACTGTTCAGATGTATCTTTTCTACTAAGTCAGTTAGTTCTGGATACTGTATGAGTGCTTGTTCGCATATGGCTTGGAAATTCTTCCGACTGTCATTCCATCTTGTCCATACTGTCATGACCTTAGAGTCGAGATGGGATGACTGTTTTATGTAGCTTTCTGCTGCTCTCTCTTGCCGCGGTATATCTTCGGTACACATCTGTTTAAAACAAATTATTTTATTTACAGAGTGATCTGTAAGCTATGTTTGGAAAAGATTTTATTATTCTTTGTCAAAGCTTGTTTTTATTTTAAGGCTTTAACTTTTCCTTCATTGTTTACCGTAAATTATATCTACATACTGCTTTTATTCTTTTTATGAACTAATAAATGTTATAACAGGCTTCTTAAAAAAATATAAAAAAAATCAGACTGAGAAGGTCAGCTGCCAGTACCCCAAGGTAAAAATTTGGAAGTAGTCTTTAAAAAAAACTGAAGTGACGGCAATAACTTAATTCCCATTTGCCTCCAGTGGCAATCCTTGCGAGAGCGACTAGGAATAAAGGGGATGAAAACACTAAAGTGGGGGCAATGACTTCATTCCCATTTGCCTCTGGCAATACACCCGGAGACGACTGGGAATAAAGGATATAAATGACGTACTTGTTCCATAGCCTCGCAGGAGGATCGGTACGCTAGATCGGCGACGTGACTGAAAGCGCGCATTCTCATACGATGTCGCAGAGCTAGCACACGTTGTCTCGACATCAGGCTGAAAAGTTCCGCTTCCAGTGCTCCATAGTTAAGGCAGTGTCTATATGAAGATATAAACGACTTACTTGTTCCATAGCCTCGCAGGAGGATCGGTGCGCTAGATCGACGACGCGACTGAAGGCGCGTGTTCGCAAACGATGTCGCCGGGCTAGCACACGTTATCTCCACATCAGGCGGAGAAGGTCTGCTTCCAGTGCTCCGTGGTAAAGGCAGTGTCTTTATGAAGATAAAAACGACTTACTTGTTCCATAGCCTCGCAGGAGGATCGGTGCGCTAGATCGGCGACGCGACTGAAGGCGCGCGTTCTCAAACGATGTCGCAGAGCCAGCACACGTTGTCTCAACATCAGGCTGAGAAGGTCTGCTTCCAGTGCTCCATGAGCATCGTCTAACTCCAATATACGACGCCGCCATTCTTGTATCGCTACCAATTAATTTGGATAATTTATATATCGTTTGTATACATTTTAGTCGTAACAGTCTTACCAGATCAAAAGTTTTTTGATCATTGTTTAAATTAAGACCTTTAAAAATGATGCTGTCTCTATTTGCTTTTATAAACAAGAATGAGACAACCTTAGTTTAAACAAGTTTAACTTTAAACTGTGTCTAAGAAACTTTTGTAGTAACATTGCGCGTGTTTAAATTAAGTAGTAATAACCAATACCAAATAGTTAGTAGTATATTATTATTGAAATAAAAAAAAATAGTCCCCGTTTTGAGCTGAGAAACATTTTTTTTTTTATTCTCCATAACATTGCCATTGATATTAAAGATTACTTTAAAATAGAAACAATGTCTTACCTTTTTCCTTAGCCAAATCAGGTTCCTTAGATACAACACGAACACTCGATAGAGTCAATTTAGCTTCCAATTCCTTCACCTTCTTCTTCAATTCCTCATTGATCTGCACATACTGTGAAAGTCTCATATCACCATCCACTATGTTCTTCTTAATGCTAAGTTGTATCTTGTTTGCTCTAGCAGCATACTTAAGAGTGTTGTATGTATCTTCATAGCTAATATGAGCTGGTGATACATTAGCAATCATCACAGTTTTACAATTGCCACCAAGGCTGTCTTTTAAAAGGCGGGTAAGTTTGGAATCTCTGAAATAAAATTAATTACATAATTTTATTATACACCCTGGCAAACTTCTTGGGCAACAACCATAGACAAACCATAGACTTGAGCAACAACCAATAATTGAGCATTAACCATAAACCATTGCAAAGTAGCAAAACCATATACTGCGCAGGTTTATTTGTCTGTGATTTTGATCAAGAAATTTGCCGCCAGGTATGCAACATATCAAGAGCAATTTCAGTTATGGTACAACTTAATTTGCAAATGATAACAAACCCCAATCAACCTACTTGATCTTTTCTAAATACATAACAATCAAACCACTATTAAGTATCTCAACTTGATTATATTATTACACACCTGTAAGGTATATAACTGCTTCCATCAGCAAGCTTGTTGATACAGTTGCCAAGTGACAGCAAGCTCTTATTGATATTAGCACCTTCCTTGAAACGTTCACCCACGCAACCTGTGGCTGATGCTCTCTCACTGCCCGCTAAATCAATCATTGATAACTTCACTAAACGAAGCTGGCTGCTTGTCTTGTACCGCATCTTTACATATACCTAAAGAAATAACATTTGTTTAAAATATCGGTTGTTATTGGCAAATACACATTTTTATTCACATGTGTAGATTATGGATAAAAGATAATAAATTTTAAACTTTTCTGATTGATGAATTGCTAAATACATTTTATTTTTTTAGTACCTGGAACACAGCATGACTCCTAGAGCTTTCAGCATTTGCATCGGTTGGATGCTGTGTCCTGTTCTTGTTACCATTCTCCAACATGTTTAGAAGCTCCCGAGCAGTTTTGATATTGTTCAGAGTTAACCCTGCCACCATAACTCCATACTTAGCATCTTCTCGGAGTTGAAGTGGAGTGTTAGAAGGTTTAAGTAAATCATAAACATTCTCATTGTAAACCTGTAAAGTCATAGATATTTATTTTAAAAATAATATTATTCTCAGCTTGAAAGTTAAATAAATGCCTACAAATGAGTTTTTTTTTTAATTTTGAAAGTTTTTGATTAAACAAGTTGCTTAAACAAGTATTTGAAACAAATATATAGATATTGTACATACCTCAATATAAGAGACACCAATATCAAATTCTCTTTCTTTCTCATATGAATTTATTGTGTAGAAAAGATGTTCCATGGTGAGGTATGTGATACCTGGGTGTTCTGCATTCCCTATCATTGTGAATGTTTTACCAGCGCCTGTAGCTCCATACACAAATACGGAGCAGTTATACCCCTCCATTAATGCGGTGAGAATATCCTTAGTAGTGGTCTCAAAGACATCATTATTAGTAGCACTTTGACCACAAACATTATCGAAGACAAATTTCAATTCTTTATTAGCGCGTTTCAAAAAATTCTTGTTGGGCTGCTGTACTCCTTGATAGAAAAACGGCCTGATCTCCTCTTTTGGGTCAAAAACAAGCATTTTATCGTCAACAACATCTACAACTACGCGACTATTCTGTTGCAACTCGCGATCGTTAAGCGGACGAACTCTCACAACAACTTTTATATTCGCAGCCATATTCTGAGTAGATCCACATTTTGAAGGTGCTACTGGACCTGGGGGTCTTTTGTCTCTACCAGGGTTGGTCATTTTATCTATTCGAACCATATCTATTCAACAAGACACTTTCTCATCAATATCAACACAACCACTCTATACGGTTTCACAATACAAAAGTAAATTCCTTAAACGATAACGGCTACAATTGCTAGTCAAAGAAGGACAATTCAAAACGTTTAATTAATAAAATAGGTCACAATTTTATTTCGTAAACAGCGAACTAAGTTTGAATCGTAATCGCAACCGTCATATTTTTGAAATTATGACAGACGCCAACGTTTTTTTTTAAGATTCTCCCTTTTAAGGGAAGGCAAAGAAATCTGTACTCATACAGCCGAATCTCTAATTAAATTATTCTTCTTTTTTTTACATTAGAATGTCAGTGTGACGCATTCTAATGTTTCTTGGAGTGTTTGGCACGAAATGTATCGAGTTGGCGTTTTCAATAAGCTTCTGTGAGGTAGTCAACACTACAATAAAATTCTTACGTCCACTGGACCGGAATAGCGTATAATTTAAAGATTCCACTGATTCTTCAGTTGCGCAGACGGTTGTAACAAAAAATCACACCAAGTACCAGTAACCGCTATGAACGAATTTAAGAATAATTAAAATAAGACGCCAACCGCAGCGATGAAATCCCGCCAAAAACTCGGACGCCAAAGGGTTGCGTTCTGTACTTACATACCTTGTCTTTGACATAAAGGTCTTGTACGTACGTACCTTGTCTTTGACATAAAGGTGCGTTAAGACTATGCTATGCTAAATACCCATTGTAAATACCTTTACCCCCATATTAATAAACGAAGACTTAGGGTACGATCAGAGTGCACGCAGATTCAGATTCAGACTCAGAAAACAAGAGCGAGAAATAAACAGTGTAGTTAAAGCAGGGTGGCCATAGTGGCAGCAGGCCCGCGCAGGTTTCGGAGTCAGAGGGTGCGGCCAGAGTGCACTCAGATTCAGATTCAGATTCCGAAAACAAGCGCGAGAAATAAACAGTGTAGTACGGCCAGAGTGCACTCCTGATTCAGATTCAGATTCAGACTCAGAAAACAAAGCGCGAGAAAAAGCAGGCAACCTGCTTAGACTACACTGTTTATTTCTCGCGCTTGTTTTCAGAATCTGAATCTGAATCTGAGTACACTCTGGCCGCACCCAGACACTTGACCGGAACGTTTAGGTCATTCAGATTCTGAATTCACCAGCGCCGCTCGGACTGCAGGTAGGGTTGCCAACCCTCCTATAAAATATAGTATCCTACTTTAATAGGGGATCAAATAGTATATTTCTAAAAAATACGTAGTAAGCGAAATTACTAAAGGACATTGTTCTGCGTCCATACATAGTTAGCCTAAGAACCAACAATCATGAAATATTATTTTCTAGGTTCGAAATCGCAAGTAAATGACTGTAAAAACAAAGATTATTGACGGACACTTCTGAAAACTTAAATTATTAGGAAACTAAAATTTTTTTGAGGTTATGTTTAATATTCACTGAAACATAGGTCAACCTATGAACTTAGTATGAACTCAGTATGAAGTAAATTAATATTACAACTAATTCATTTTATTCGGTGCGATTTTAAAGAACAACTATTAGGAAGAACTTGGTTAGGCAGGAATCATGAATAAAATAAAAACAATAGTTTTGCTTCTTATTATTTATTGACTATTTTTCACATAATTATATCATATTGTATTTATTTGTTTAACACATGTATATTGTGTAATTATGCAGCGTGAATGGTGCTCTTGAATAATTTGGCAGTATGATCCTCTCAGGATGTTGTGGCACAAGTTCACTAGCACTTGGTAATAAGGTCTCTCCTCTTTGTTAACTTCGATGGCATATTAGATAGCCGAAATAGTAATAGCTAAATTAAAGGAAAAACAATCGCAAATAAACACACACAACAGGCTCGAAGGGTACGGCCAGATTGCACTCCTGATTCGGATTCTTGCGAGAAAAAGCAGGCAATCTGCTTAGACTACACTGTTTATTTCTCGCGCTTGTTTTCGAAATCTGAATCTGAATCTGAATCTGAGTGCACTCTGGCCGCACCCTAAGGGTATAGCCACAGTGCACGCAGATTCAGAATCAGATTCAGACTCAGAAAACAAGCGCGAGAAGTGTTTACAACACTGTTTAGTGTAGTTGAAGCTGGGTGACCATAGTGGCAGCAGGCAACCTGCTTCAACCACACTGTTTAATTCTCGCGCTTGTTTTCTGAGTCTGAATCTGATTCTGAATTCGAAGTCGAAGTTTCAGCTACAGTATTTTCTCGAGTTATTTCGGTGACAGTGCGTTCAGGAATTCCTGGAACGAACAAATATATTATGATTATCCGACATACTCAAAATACAAAAAAATACCCAATACGAAAGCAAAATACCATATTTGTTTCTTAGATTTTCACGCACATCACTCATTAAATAAAACTAGTTTTTACGGGTTAATGCACGAAACTTTATTTATTTATTGACGTTTCGTAGCCTTTACAGGCTACGTCTTCAGAATTAAACTTTTATTTAATTTGTCGAGCTACCTTCGAAAGACTTTTATTGAGCGTTCGGTTATTTCATTGTTCGATTTATAAGTTTTATTGTCTATGTATGAATTTATTATTTAATTTACTGAATAAAGTATTTTATTTAAAATTCTTTTTTATAATTTGCGTTTATTTATTTGACCCTAACTACCGTAAACTACCACCGGTTCCAAAATTGGGAGACCTTTCTGAGAAGAACCGGCGAAACAAACTCAAGAGAGGCTTTCTATCTCCTTCTTATGTTAAATTATGCAAACAAAAAGAACTAAAAGTATCTGATAGTCTTGCAGTGTGTGCTCGGGGTTGGGATTTTATCTCCTGTATAATAGGTTCTCAAGCTGGTTGTATATACCAACCATCTTCCCTATTGAAATTTGGATATTTTTTAATCTCAATAGCCTCGCGCATCATTCGAGGAACGAACCGCCGCTCAGCTGCAAGGATCTGTGGCCTATCAAATCTAATGTAATGGTTTGGTCCCCCTAATGCATGTTCACACAGTGCAGACTTATTTTCGCGCCTATGTTTCATATCTGCGATATGTTCTTTTACCCGAGTCCCTATACTCCTCTTTGTTTGCCCGATGTAAGAGAGCCCACAGTCGCATTCAAGTTTGTAGGCACCAGCAACTTGAAAGGGTATATTGCACTTGACCGGTCGTAGAAACTGGTAGATCTTCTTTGGCGGCTTGAAGTATGTATTGATTGAAGCACGCTTCAGAATCCTCCCAATCTTGTCAGTGACTCCTTTCATGTAAGGTAGTATAGCAGGTTGTCGGTCGACTGTGCTAGGTTTGGCGCGACTGTGACGGCGACGTGGTACATTCAGGTTATTATCCTTCAGTACTTGCTCGACATGCTGAAGTTCAGCTGCCAGGTGTTATTTGTCACAGACACCCCGTGCTCTCTGAAACAAAGAGTTTCCTACGGCAGTTAATTGTTTCAAGTGATGGTGTGAGTCACCTATCAGTATGAGTCACTTTACGATACACAGTATGGCTTAAACTTTGGTCAGGATTCCTGATTAATAAAATATCTAGAAAAGCTAGTTTACTATCTGCCTCTAACTCCATAGTGAATAGGATGTTGAGGTGTATAGAGTAAAGGTGATTTAAAAAGGCAGAAATTTGATCTGTTGGGAGGATTGTGAAAGTATCATCTACGTACCGCTTATATAGCCTGGGTGTGACAGGTGCTACGCTGAGAGCCCTCTTCTCGAAGTCTTCCATGAAAATATCGGCGACAACAGGTGAGACAGGGGAACCCATTGCAACACCCTCCATTTGTACATAGAAGTCCAAAGTGATCCAACCAGCCCAATGTGGTTCTAATCTCAATCTGATAGCTCTGTGGGGGAGTCGTGAGCAGAAGGTACAGCGAAGATGGCGCTTGACTTGGAATATCTGGGATCCGGATGAGCTGAGGAATCAGTTTCTTCAAGTCATACGTGAGAGCCAAGGCGTGAGCAGAGCAGACATCTCTGCATGATCGGCTTTGGAGGCACCCAACCACAAAGGGGTGAGCATTAAAATCCCCCAAAAGCATCAATTCTGTATTGTGAAATTAATTACTCTTCGCGGCCTCTGCTGTCCGACGGAAATGTTCAAAAAGTCAATTTGTCGCAACATCGCCGGTATGGGATCTGTACCGGCATGGACAATGAGGAGTCTTCCAGGCAGTGGAGACGGCGACAACAACGTTCGTGAACGTAGAACGTTCTCGGCGGTCATTGTTATAAATAGAGAGATCTATAAGAAAGCCGTAGTCAATGCCCTAATAATCTTACAAAACGAATATTGTTAATTAATTTTTCTCCCCGGATTAACGGGTAAGTTCCATCTATTTAATTCTATAGGTCGTAGGGCATAGTAGGCAATTAGATTTATTACAAGGTATTGTGTGTGATTATTTCTAGGTCCTTTGAGGAAGCTAGTATAATTCCTAGACAAAAACTCATTGATTTGTCCAGGCTGGAATTTCCTTGGAAATATTGAATGGAATAATTTTTATGTTCGTCACTTAATTTTAACATATAAATAAAAGGATCTTGTTCACTGCTGTAAACATTTTTATTTGCCTCCCACACAATACAGTATAAGGCGCCTTGGCTAGATAATAAATTTTCGAGTCTCATGCAAAGCCCTGATTAAGCTGGTGGTAGCAAAAACGGCTACAGGGAAGACACCGTTTCTAACCAACACCTAGCAAGCACCAACGCTGATACCTGGATATGATAACAATCATTTTGATGATTCCGGCGAAACCGTATCAAAATTACCGTCGCAGAGGATTTTACAGTACGTACCAGGAAACAAAGACACTGGAATTGATGAGTCTGGAGTTCAAGAAGAACCAACTCATTCGTCCCATCATCCTACACGTGAGAGAAGACCACCGGCATATCTACGTGATTATGAGCTACAGTAAAAAAATAAGAAGGAGTGAATGTGGTATAATCTCTATCCTCCTTATTCCAAAACAAAAGTGACAGCATCAGTTTTAGTCCATGTTTAACTTTAGTCTTTGTTTTGTAATAAGGCGGATTAAGTTTTAATTATGGGTACTAACAATATTGTCAATAACGCAATAGTGTTTAGCTTTCATTAAGTATCTCCAATTTTATAGTTTGTGTCGTTTTCTGTATCAGTAATCAAAATACATAACTATAACATATAGAAATGAACCAATCCCATTTTCATTTATTGCAATCCCAAAGAAAACTAGCCTGCGTGGTTGGAAGAGTTCTTAATAAAAGGAACCTTGCTATGGAGCGGCGAACGGTAATAATTTAATCCTTGTAACCCGGTAATCCAAGCTCATAATTAAGTTTTATTTATAATACGACCCGTCAGACTAGCTTTATTGTGACGACGCGACGGGCTATAAGAAACAGATACAATTTCCTCCTTAATTTCCGCTTGCGATCTTATCTGGACATAATGAGAGTCTTAGCATTCACGAGACACCTCGAAACTTATGAAATGTTTGGAAATCGTCTACCTACCGAGGATATTTTAATCCAAATTATAATATTAAACTAATGGTACAGTCATTCTAAATTCCTGTTATATTTTCCTTTGAATGTCAAAAAACAATCACGGTTATTCATCAGATAAAATAAAAAAATATTTCCGGTTTTGGATACATAGGAAGATTTTCTTTAAACATTTATCAGCTAAATGCTTAAAAAATAAAGAATATAGGAAAGATTTACTAAACGGAGCACAGACCAAACCCTAACCCATAGTATTCTTACTTTCTTTCCTGTTTCTGTTCACACTTTTTTGACCCTATCCGTAGCATAGAGTCTCTCTGTACAACTCAGTAAATCTACCTACTTCATCATCATTGCCCTATTAATGTCTCCACTGCAGGGGTGCAAGCCTTTCCTATGGATGGAAAAGGGAGACTGGGCTGTGACATAGCGCGCGGGCCGTGCATAACTTTCACGATCGCAGGCCAAATGCAGTATCTGCGCAATGTGTTCCTATTCTCTACCTACTTAGTAACTTACTATTGGTTTGATCGCTTTAACCGCAGCCTGCAATTATATTTCTCATACAGTGCCATCAAGGGGACTAAATTACATAGGTGGAATTGCAAATAATAAATCACCCTCGTCGTAACCTGTTATTCGGAACTAAATATTCCCAACAACTGCATTTTGCCATTTCCCATATCGTTAGAAAATATACTTACATAATAATTAAAATTATAGCTTACGTTACATTTTACTTATTATTTAATTTCGCACACTTACTCTTCAGCGACGGGGTGGCGGCCGTTTTACAAACGATCTCAGTATATTTAAAATAGTTGCCTTAAAATGTCTTTCTATCTTAAAAGTAAAAAGCGCTTCTCTGTTTTAAACCTGTTGAAATCCCTTGAGGATCCAGAATATCCGTCCATAGGACCACATCTTCGCCTTTTAGGTTTTACCGGCATTTGGCATCCAGAACTTACATCGAAGACGGCACGATTCAAGCAATGGCTTTTCTATTTAACGATATCTTTTTTCTTCAGTCAATACATTAAATGTTTCGTACAATTTAAAGCCAGCTCATTAGTGCTCATATTACAGTACGCACCATTTCACATGGGGATTGTAAAAGCGTGTTTCTTCCAGAGGAACTATAAGAAATGGGAGAAAATAATTCACTACGTATCCAACACTGAAAAGAATCAAATAACTGAAAGCAATGAGGAAATCACTAAAATTATTACAAATTACATACAACACAGCCGTCGCGTCACATACTTTTTCTGGGCTTTAGCATTTTTTTCGAACTTCTCGATTTTTAGTGAGCCTTATCAAAAAAACATAAACTCTGATAATGGCGAAGCCGTGTTTAAGAAAATCTTTGATGGTTATATCCCGTACAGTGATTACCCCCCTGGTTATTATATATCTATGTTCATTCAGACGGTACTTGGTCATATTGTGAGCGCGTATGTTGTTGGCTGGGACACCCTTATATGTACTATTATGATTTTTTTTGCTGGACAACTGAAGGTGGCACGTTTGCTTTGCTCTAGAGTGATTAATGTTCAGAATCCCGAATTATGCCGCAAGTATATTGCTGACTGTCATCGCTTTCATACCACTCTTGTCAAGTGAGTAGATGAGTAGATTTTTTTTTTATTTTATAGGTACTGCCTATATTAGCTACTAGCTGACCCGGCGCACTTCGTGTCGCCTAATATTCGATGAATGTGGTTATTTTAGGAAAAAGGTTACAGTGAGTCAGCTTAAAAGATGGATATATGCTGTCGAGGACTTTTTATAGAACTTTTAAAGGGGAACAATTCCGTCATAAATGAATTTGTGTAACTTAAACCATATACGCAGCGAACGCAACGAAAGCTCTAAAAATGAATCAATTTTTTTTTCGTTCGTTTTCGCAACATTTTTCATTGATGCTCCGCTCCTATTAGTCTCATCATAATGTTATATAGCCTATATATATAACCTTCCACGATAAGTGGGATTTATCACAAAAATATTTTTTAAATTTGAATCTTTAAATTTTGCCACTACGAGACGACGCGACGAGACCTTCACTGTATGGCAGTTCAGTGCAAACAATAATCCCCAATTCCTAAAACATTTGTTGCACTTTGCTATTTCATTTGACGACCTCCGTGGCCGAGTGGTTTGTACGCCGGGTTTCATGGCGTCGCCGACTCGAGAGGTCCCGGGTTCGAATCCCGGTGGGGGCAGATATTTGTGTGATGAACACGAGCATTTGTACTCCAGTCATGTATGTTTAAATATCTATTTCTATATAAATATACTTATATATGTAAAGTATTTGTATTCTATCCGTTACCCTATCCCATAACACAAGCCTTATAGTGCTTTATTTGGGGCTAGGCTAATTGGTGTGAGTGTTGGAAATATTTATTTATTTATTTTATTTATTCATCATCAGCCTAGTAATGTCCCCACTGCTGGGGGCCAGGGCACAGGCCTTCCATATGGATGGCAAAAGGGAGATTGGGCCATGACCCACCACGCGGGCTCAGTGCGGGTGCTAACGATTGCAGATGCAGCCGGCACCAACAGCTTAATGTGCCTTCCGAAGCACGGAGAAACTCCAGATAGAACATTTTTGGTCAACCATCCAATGAGTGACCACTGCGAAAGTTGCTTAATTTTAACGATCGCAGCCGAACGCGCTTACCACTTGCGCCATCGAACTCCTCAACTTATCCTCAATTTGCTGTTCCAGAAACCAGAAATTGTTCGAAAATCTGATATCACCGGCTATGTTTGTATATTTGATAGTAATATCGGTCAACCTTGGGGTCTGTATTATTGAGATTGCAAAGGTACGTATACTACATTTTTTAACTACTTATATTTTTATATCAGACAGGCAACGATATTAGTTTATAATATATCATTGTAATGTTACAATGATCAGGCTTTTTTTTACAACACACACCAATTAGCCTAGCCCCAACATAAGCAATGTAAGGCTTGTGTTATGGGATACTGAAGTAACGGATAGAATACATATACTGTACATACATAAGTATATTTATAGAGAAATACATATTAAACATCCATGACTGGAGTACAAATGCTCGTATTCATCACACAAACATCTGCCCCCACCGGGATTCGAACCCTGGACCTCTCGAGTCGGCAACAGTCATGAAAACCGGCGAACAAACGACTCGGCCGCGGAGGTCGTCTTTGTGATAGCAATAAAAAAGCCAACACCTTTCTTTGACTGACAACCATTAAATGGCGTCCATAAATTGACGTCCATGGGTGCGGCAGCAAGTATAAACCTGTATAATGTAGTTATATTTTTATTTTTCAAGCATGTAACTGCTAAATGTAAATCTAGAGAAAATTTTCTAGATAAAAATCCACGTGGACCAGGCAGCAGACGGGACTTTTTGTAGTAAAATTTAAAGAATATAAACATATATAATATATATTTATGTATATATGTAGTTATATACAAAATATCACCGCTCTAATAAAACTAAAATCCCTTAAGTACTTACGTACTTACATTTTTTTTTGACTTAAACAACTAGCAAAAGTTGTCGAGCGTTCCCTAAAAAATAAGTAAAAACCTTTAATGAAACGTGACCTACTTTGTGAAACAACCATTTTTGTTATAAAATAACATAGCACTCTAGATCTTATTTCAAAACCCTTAACAATTACATTGTCTTTGAATTTAACTACAAAAAAGTTGCCGAACGAACGTTCCCACAAAGTAGCTTTGAATATAAAGAAAACTTGGAATTGTTGCAAACTTTTGAAATAAGTATTCAAACTTCTTACTTCTTCATTGTTAAAATATATCGTATTTTAGGTACCAAAATATAACAGAAAATGTAAACAGCTGCTAAAAATTATTTAAATTCTTCTGACACGCCCTTATGAAAGATGGACTAACAAGTATGAATTAATTATTTATTATTAAATCTGAATAGGTATTTTTATCATAGTGTTAATAAGCGTGAATTAATAAGTACCTAGCTAGCCGGCTAATCAATTCACAAAGGTAAATAGTAAATTAAACATTACACATAGTTTTTAGGGTTCTGTAGTCCTGCCAAAGAACCCTTATAGTTTTGTCATGTCCATCTGTCTTTCCGTCCCCGGTTTGATTGGGAACTCTTAGCACTATAGAGCTGTAATTTTTTGAAGATATTTTATACGCCGACAAAATTTTGAAAAATATATTTTTTAGGGTAGCTCCTCTACATGTAACCTGCGAATGATTTTTTTTCATTGGTCTTCCCATCGTGTGGGGTTTAATACTCGTAGGTCTTTTAAAAATACTTAGAGGTTTCTAGGACTATTTTTCGTTTAATTTTAAAGTGCTCATCATTGTTTGAGTAGTGCGTCACCCCCCCTCCCTCCCTCTAAAAGCTAAACTACTAGCTCGAAAAACCTGGAAAATTTAAGGAAAATTATAGCGGTTAAGATAGATTTTTTAGTTTAAAATCAATGGTTGTTTAACTTTGGTTAAAGAAAATTTCTTAGAAGGAAATACCTTATTAGTGACAGACGAAGTTATTGTAGCGTAAACCATTAGATAGAAAAACAAAATATTTAAAAACCACAATAAAATATAATTAGTTCCATTAAGCTACCGCGAGTACCAACGGCAACGGCTTCTGGATCGCACTATTGTTAAGTTTTTATAAAGCACTTGAAAAGATCGGCAGGTATCATTCGTATTACATTTTTTTTATATCGAATGGATTTTGAGTTTGAGACGCAGTTTGACCTTGATTTAGGTATTTTAGTTTAGATACATAGTTTGATATTAACTGCTTTTTTATTTCCGAAACAGAAAATAAAGACTCTTTGCTCAAATATATTGTAGTAACGACAGGCAACTACGTAACGCTACACTGTGCGTGGCACGACACGCACTTAGCCGGTTTTTTTATATTAAAGGACACTTTTCTGGGTCCTTAACAGATAATACTGATAATATTTTGTGAATAATGTGGCGAAACAAATATAAGATCGTTTTTTTAGAGGTCACCATAGTTAGTGTAACGTGGGTGACAAAAAAAATGGCCCGCCTGATGCCAAGCTGCCACCATATCTTTGACTTTTGCGATATAAGAGTATCACTTGCTTCATCGCCAACACTGACTCTGTTCTCTACATCGTGGAGCCAGGTAAAGCTTACACAGCAACAGAAACACAAACACCACCAAAAGCCACCGTATTTTCAATGTGGTCTTCTTGTCCAGACGGGCGTTATATTTTAAAGGGATTCTTCCCCTACCCGCCCTACCTCTTCCTCTCTTTATTTCATAAAATAAAGGATAAGATTAAATTTTATTAATGCACTCATTATTTAAAAAATCCCGTGGCCATGTTCTGCTGGCCCATCTTCTACTGATGATGACCATACTGATATACATGTTATAACTGGCGGTCGCGGTAAAGTGCTGTTGCATGATGGGTGTCAGTACTATTTTCGCGTGTAGTATAAAAATTCAAATTGTGTATGGAGATGTAAGATTTTCAAACTTCAAAATGTACTGAAATCTCTGGCTTTCAAAATATTTTCGATCTTTTATTTTTTTAACGATACTAGTGAAGTAAAATTGTGTCAGTAGTACCATCAATGGTAAATACATATGACGTAAAGAGTCTTAAATAACCGGTTTCATAATTTGGTTTTTGTTCTTTATTTCGTCGCCTACCCCAACTCTGTCCTCATATCTACTCCATGGTGCTTTGGCAACATCCTATAGGTACTTACAGTAAGAACTAAGAACTCAATTACAGGTTAATTTTATTTGACAAGCAGTTTTTATAAGGTATAGAATAACTATATATTCCTTTCTTAGAAACTACTTTCGAAAATCAACCATCATATGATAGTCCATGGAAGTGTCTTTATAATAATATATTCAAAACGCGAGTCCAACTTGATACACCTTTAATCGTCACTCTCCGTATTACACTACATTGCACAACCATCCAGTACGAGCGCCCAGCCAAGAATGTCTCCAGCCAGCACATCGCCACCTTGAATCCCCACTTCTCGAACAATGCCAGTCAAACGATTTACTTTTAACAAATAATTCACAAAATATTTACTCTTAAAATGAAATACGTACCTTACAAAGCATAGTATTCATCTAATAGAATTTCTTTAAACCTATGAGTGTTTTATAAATAAGTAAAAAAGTAATCTTATAAAAATAGGTTTTACTTATTCAAACGTCTCATTTCAGATAAAAAATGATACACCGACGCTAATATCCAGCTGTTTATTCCTGTTGGCTTGTTTCATACAGTTGCTGCTGTTCTACTGGCACAGCAATGAAGTCACCGAAGATGTAAGTATATAACTTATACTTAAAAACCAACAACTAAAGATCGGTAAAGAACTTCTTCAGTGCAGCCTACAAAGTTTTATTTAGTATAGTAATAATACCCATTTCTTATTAAAATTACTCCTACAGCTACAGTTTATATAATTTTAAATTATATATTTTTCACAATAATTATTATCGATGGTCACAATAATGAAATGAGTTAGTGCCTATTGATATATTCCCTCATCTAAATTGGGAGTTATTTTTATTTAAAAATATTTTGTAAGAATAAAATCACACTGCATCTAAATAAGTAAGAATCATAATTTTAAAAAACGTCGTTAATGTTTTCAGAGCGTCCTAGTCAGCTACGGAGTATTCGAAAGCGACTGGTATCAAGCCGAGAACAAATATCAAAGAGAAGTGGCATTGCTTGGAATCACAACCACGAAAAGGTTGGCTTTCAGAGTAGGCCCATTCAACGAAATGACTCTTAAGACATTTGTAGCTGTAAGTAAACTTACATCTAAAAGTTATTTCCAAATTGGACCGACTATTCAAGATTTTTGCACTTACCTTATTATGCATACAAAGCAACGATATTACATGCATCGAATGAACTCAACTGTGTATCGCTTATAATAAAAATCCTTTTTAGCCCTTTCAAATATGTTAACCCAGATTCTAAGAAATACGAAACTTTACTCGTTAGAACAATTTTCAGGCCGCTTGAATTTGTAGAAAATATATCGACCACAAACTTGAAGGTCCTCTTGTTTACTTCTAAAACTTTACTCGACTACTAACATGATTTTAATTTTCAGATTCTACGTGCGAGTTATAGTTTATATACTTTACTAAACGAGACTAATTAAATTAAATATGAATAGTTACAGCTGCATAAATTAAAAAAAATAAAGGCATAATCATATTAGTAAAGTACTAAGGTTTTACTGACTTTTTAAATAAGTAATCGTTTTTGAAATTTTGAATAATATAACCTTTGGGAAAAATGTGTCATATTATTTCAGCCATCCTTTACCCGAAATTTTTAAAGTAAAAGTGTCTTCCCAGAGGCTTCGACGCGACGGAAAAACTTCATAAAGTAATTTGAAAAGGGTTAAAATATTCGAATTTAAAATTCAAATCGTATTTATGTAATTAAGATAAAAAAGCTTAGGCTTAGAAACTTTTAAAATATTTTATGTGATAGGAATATGTTCAAATATAGGTAAATGCAATGTAAAGTGACATTATTTACCAAAAAATTTAAAATTCTTGATTTTTAAATATTATAAAGATTTTCTTTCCAGATACCAATAGCACAGTGAACTATAATATTGTAATAATGTTTTTATATCTTATTTCCATTATTATAGATTTTTACATTTTAATCAAGGTTCCATAAAGTTCGTTTCAGACACAATACCGACTGACTGACTCCTAGACAGTTCGGAGGCACCGTCGCGAATAATTCGTGCCAGTGTGTCAATTTAAACGAGCATCCAACTTCGAGACGAAGATTCCCCGCTGTTAATCTATTTAAACAGATTTAAACTCAAAGTTATCGTTAATAGATTCCAATTTGAACTCGTTCCAGAATGCTGAATTGCATCAAACACAGAAGTAAACTGAATACATTTTATTAAGATGGTGAGTTTTTAATATGCTCTGCCGGTGGAAGTTACAAATTGAACTGGAAGAACGAAATTATAAAAATGCTTCACTTGTAAACTCATTTCAAGGTTGATTTTTGATCAAATATCGGAGCAGTCAAAAAAGAGTGTGAGTGCGCTAAAAGGATTACTGAGCTAAGTTTAATAAATTAACGAATCATTCAAAAGAATTACTCTATTACCTACTAGCGGCCCGCCCTCGCTTCGCTGCGGTGTAGAGCTGAAGTGTAGACTACAGTTTATGTTCTCAGGCTTGTATTATACACAATGACATTCATCTATGATTCTTCTTATACCTGCATGCAAAGTCTCTGCCCGATCGGTGTTTAAAATTGACAAAGTTCTTTCATTTTCTATTTTATCCTCTTGGGGGTAGAATTGATCAAAATCCTTTCTTAGCGGATGCCTACGTCATAACATCTACCTGCATGCCAAATTTCAGCCCGATCCGTCCAGTGGTTTGGGCTGTGCGTTGATAGATCACTATGTCAGTCAGTCACCTTTGAGTTTTATATACAGGGTGGTCAAAAAGTCGTGGATCAAACGAAACAGGGAGATAAAGAAGGTTATTTCCAACAAAAAATCTTTCTACAGCATGGCCATAACTTCATTGCACGAAAAGTTATGAATATTTTTGTTTTTTTTTCAATGAATCTACCGAGTTTTTTTACAATTTAATCAATAAAAAAATTAATTGATTAAAAACAATAAAACCAAAGGTCATGTATTATGACTGGATTATGTATCAATACTACATAAATTGTATTGGAGCTCTTGGTATAAAATTTATCGAGCAATGATTTTTTTCTGTAAACTTTGAAGCGTTACAAAAAATTACGTTGAACTTTAAGAGCACCTTGTGAAAAAAAAAGTATTACAGAAAAGTGACCCTGTATTAAAAAACTTACTGATTTAATGCTGATTCAAATGAGGTACAACACTGTACTGTGTGACCTTTAGTTAAGGTTTTATGGTCATTTTTTCATGTCAAGGTGCAAATTTATAAAATGGTAAATTGAAAGGAGAATTTAGATTCTTGCTCATACATACTATGTAGTAATTTCAGAAACCATCATTAAATAAAAAGAACAATTATGACTTAGTAATTTTATTACAATTAAAATGTTTACATTAAATGTTCAAAGTTCCTACCTCTGACCATAATGCACAATCTGCACCGCCTAATAAAATTCGCACGTAATCGGCGGAATGCACCTCTGTTATTAACAACCTAGCGAACTCGAGCTTTTGTCGTAGTTCTTGTTCGGTGTTATTCTCTCCTCTCAAAGAAATAGTGTATATCTGGAAAGTGTCATTGGTCTTACCCTTGCATAAAGCAGGTCACATTGGTCAAGTTGACCACTATAGACCGATTTCCATACTTCCCACATTTGCTAAAGTCTTTGAATCAATGTTGCGCCCTATTATTTCTCAGCATTTTCGGCAACTAGTCTCACCACAGCAACATGGTTTCCTTAAGGCAAGATCTACTTGCACCAACCTGATTACTCTTATAGACGATTTGTCCAGTTCCTTAGAAAAAAAAAGCCTATTGATGTCATATACACCGATTTCAGTAAAGCGTTCGATAGAGTTAGCTACCATGTGTTACTCAGAAAACTATCGTCTATTGGGATCAGCGGTAACTTATTAAAATGGTGTAAATCTTATTTAAGTTACCGAAGTTCAAAAGTTGTAGTGAATGGCTACGAGTCGAGCCCTTTCTGTGCCCATCGTGGTATCCCGCAGGGTTCGATCCTTGGCCCTGTGTTCTTCAATATTTTCATCAACGATATCTATAAGCGTTTTAACAACTGCAAATGCTATTTGTTCGCTGATGATCTTAAAATTTCAAGGCACATTTCTACGCCCGACGATGTGGTTCTTCTTCAAAAGGATTTTGACAATCTGGTTGAGTGGTGCGATGAAAATGGCATGTCTCTTAATACCAAGAAATGTTTTGTGGTTCACTTTACACGCAGTAAAAAAATATTTGCTAGAGAATATGTCTTAAAAAATAATAAAATTGCAAGCGTGGATTATATTCGTGATTTGGGAGTTATTGTGGATGCAGGGTTGCGCTTTAACAAACAAATTGATGATATGGTGGCTAAGGCTTACCGAACGCTTGGTTTCGTTTTGCGCAACATAAAGTAATTCAAAAGTCCACAAACTAAAATAACACTATATAACGCACTTGTACGTAGTGGATTGGAATATTGTAGTGTGGTGTGGAATCCACACTATGATGTGTACGTTAAAAAGATAGAGCGCGTCCAAAAAAGGTTTTTATGGCATCTTTCTTACAGCCTCAATCTTGCAAAAAAGCTTCCACACTACGAAGATAGGCTACGATACTTTAAAATGGACGCATTAAGCGATCGCCGATTTATTTTGGATAATGTTTTCTTGCATAAGCTCGTTAATGATATTATGGACTGTCCCGATTTGCTCTCAAGAGTATATTTTAATATCCCCTTAAAACTGCCAAGAGGGTCAAGATTCAATTTGTTTGCTACGAGAAGCTCCAGAACAAACCTAGGCTTATTTTCTCCTATAAATAGAATGCTCTCTCAGTACAATTCACTGTCAAAGTCGACCGATATGGACATCTTCGCGGATACACTGAAGAGAATAAAATCTTTATGTTTGGTTGTGCCCACATAGTTTTTTCATTAATTTAGTTTTCATTAATTTATTTTCATTAATTAATTTTTCATAAATTTATTTAATTGTTTCATAAATTTATTTAATTGTTTCATAAATTTATTTAATTATTGACAATTTTTTTTTTCATAATTGTTTTGTATTGAAATTAATGTAATTATCAAAATTTTATAAGATTTAATGGCTAGTTAAGTGTGAATTGCATGTCGTAATCGCCTATAATTAAAGTTTCACTAATAAAGTGTCGTACTATAAATGTATAAATAATAAATATCTAAGTGTAACTTTGTTGGTGATCAAATAAATAAATAAATAAATAGCCCCAAACCAAAAAGTCTATTGGGTTAAGGTCGGGCGACCGGGATGGCCATGCAATAGGTCCGCCTCGACCAATCCACCGGTTAGGGAAGCGCTCGTTCAAATGTCCTCGAACTGCTCGAGCATAAAGAGGCGGGGCGGCGTCTTGTTGCAGCCACATTTCTGCCACTCTATCTTCAGGAATCTCAGCTTCGTTGAGTATTTGGTTCAAATTATTCTGTAAAAAAATCAAATACAGAGCACCATTCAGCCTTGGTGGCAGTTCATGTAGCACAAGCTTCTGGTCAATTATTCCAGCCCACATGTTTATACCAAACAAATGCTGGAAAGAAAAAAAACTAGCCGTTTATGATCAACTAGTAAATTATTTGAATAATGTTAATTTAATGAAATTTGCACCTTGATATGAAAAAACGACCATAAAACCAAAACTAAAGGTCACACAGTAAAGTGTTGTACCTCATTTGAATCAGCATTAAATCAGCAAGTTTTTTTAATACAGGGTCACTTTTCAGTTATACATTTTTTTTCACATGGTGCTCTTAAAGTGAGAAGTAATTCTTTATAACGCTTCAAAATTTACGAAAAAAAAATTCATTGCTCGTTAAATTTGGTACCAAGAGCTTCAATACAATTTTTGTAGTATTGATACATAATCCGGTCATAATACAACACCTTTTGTTTTATTGTGTTTAATCAATTTATTTTTTTATTGATTAAATTGTAAAAAAACTCGGTAGATTCATTGAAAAAAACAAAAATATTCATAACTTTTCGTGCAATGAAGTTATGGCCATGCTGTAGAAAGATTTTTCGTTGGAAATAACCTTTTTTATCTCCCTGTTTCGTTTGATCCACGACTTTTTGACCACCCTGTATATAGACTAGCCTGAGATTTTTCTACGTAGTATAATCGATTTCAAAACAGAAATTATCTATTTTTTCCCCATTGAAAGAATACCACAGAGTTACAAGGTTACTTCCGATAACTGAAAATGGAACACTCCATTATCCTTTCCGTGGTGGAAGAGCATTGAAAGAATATTGCAATACTATAAGTAGCGGCAAACTTCTTGAGCAAAGCCACAGTAAAATAATCTTGATTAAAATTATGTGAAATTGCTACTGCGCAGGCTTTCTTGTCTATGGCCATGGCTCAAAAAGTGTGCCGGGGTAGGCTACCGTGAAACAACACTGTGACAAATACATCGTAT